AACACATAACGGACACAAACTTGAAACACACATTCTTATTGCACAAAACATACGTCGCTGGTTCTTAGTGTGTTTCTAACCTTAAATCCTCACTATAGAGTCTTAAACATGGCCTAAGAATGCCTAGGATGGAATGAGAATGCAAAGATGTCTTGGAAAACATTTTTCAAAACTTACTGAAAAAAGGGGTCTCGCTCAAGTGTAGCTTCCTTCGCTCGAGCGAGCTTGTCAAAACAGAGGGGTCGCTCGAGCGTAGACTCCTTCGCTCGAGCGGTCTGTAAAAATGCAAAAGTACTGGTTGTTGAAATTTTACGCTCGATGCCCGCTCGATGCTCGCTTAAGCGTGAGACACAGCTCTTCGCTCAAGCGTAGGTCTCGTCACTCGAGCGTGCATCTGCGTGCACCAAAAACCTGAGAGCTTCCAATTTACGCTCGAGCCATCAATCCTTCGCTCGAGCGGAGCTCTGAACAAACGATGGTCGCTCGAGCGAGGAAGCCAAATTCTGGAATTTCCAGATTTGCCTCCCAAGCTCAAACCAAGCATTCAACACCTCAAATCTCAACCCTTTGGGCCCATTTTCTAGAAAACACTTGTAAACTCATAGTATAAGATGTTTTAAAGATCAATTTGTAAAATCAAAGCCCAAAAGTGACTCAATTAAACACAATTTCAAATAAAATTTCAATAACATAACTTAAATGTAACATGCATGAATTCTCATGACTTCTAATGCTCCAAAACATGATCCAAAGCAAGATTAAGCTAAAGAATAGGATGAATTCATGGACTATAACAAAAATGTGGACATGCATGTGGAAATTCATGAAGAACAACTCCAAAATCCAAGAATATGTGCATGCATGCATGAATTCACTCTCAAATCCAACTCTTAAAACCAATTCTAGACTTTAAACTCTAATCTTCCATGAACCATGTAAGAATTAATCTTAAATTCATAATTGAAAGGGGAATCTCCTACCTTATGTCTTGAGTTCAAGGTGTACTAGCTCAATTGTGTAGTTCTTCTACAAATCCTCAATTTCCAAGCCAAATTCTTGATGAAACCAAGTTTCTCTCACTCTCCCTCTTTCTCACAGTTTGGTCACAAGAAGATGAGCAAAGATGCATCCAATATGTAATAAAGCAAAATAAAGGCTGTCTAGACTCAAGCCACTAAGTGGCAAACTTGTAATAACTCAAACAAGTGTAAATTAACATGATTTAATCTAATTTAATCGCTCCGAACCGAATTTTAATTAAACCTACCATAAAATTCTACAAATCCTAACTAGTACATAAATCAAGTCAATTTCTGATTCGAACGCCGATAAGGCTTCCAATTCGCAAACCGAAACTAAAACGTGAACAGATCATTTTATGGCAAACAGATAAAAACACAAAGATAATGCAATACATATGCAATTTAATTTCGGATTCCTTCTAAATTACTACTAGGCATAAATAATCATGGTTTAGCATTAATCGGAGATCGAGGTTATTACACACACAATCTTCAATCGAGTGCCCCCTTTCATCATAATAAGGGTAATAATACTTTTTGTCATAGACCCTCTAGCCACCGAACATAAGGCTCGTCTCGAATCTCACTAAGGATATAGTAGATGGGCTTTTTGAATATTGTTTTGATTTTTTATCTTCATCGTTCAAATTTTGGATTAGCCCGGCTATTGTTATTGCAATTTTTGTAGTAGTTTTCGCCTTACTTTCCATTCTTCCCAACTGTGTTAACTTTAGCTGAAGTCTTTTTGCCCGCCACTGATGTGCCAGTATTTACCTTTATGCTGGTAACATCTTCTTCAACCCTTATTTGCTGATTGACTTTTCCATCAATGCCTCCATGGTTAGGGGGGCATCATCGTTAGTGAGTCTCTTAATCTATTTTTGACTAGAAAACCTCGATTATATTGGGCAATAGCTAGGTTAGAAAGGCATTCGCCAATTTCATTTAATGTCTCCCAATGTCTATCATTGTATGACTTCAAAGTTTTTTGAGGCCCCATATCAATAGCCACCAAGTGTTCAACCTCCTTGTGTGTCTTTGTGATTGTTTTGAATCTGGTACAAATGCCTTTGCAAGCTACGCCCAAGTGGCAATGTTACCTTCAGGCAATTTTTCAAACCAAGTCATGCCTAAATCCCCTAGGCTTGGCGGAAGCAAGATGCACATTAAAGCATTTCCTCCTATGAATAGTCATGACTTGTCGAAAATGGCTAAGATGCATGTAAGGATCCGACTTCCCATCGTAGATAATAAAAAAAAAACTTCAGCTGGTTGAAACCTATCGGAAGGGATGCGTTCTCGATTCTGGTGAAAGCAGCGTACTGTGTAATCTTGTCGGCTCTCTGTCCACTAGCATATGAACAACGTGTGGCATTGGCGTTGTTACCTCAACACTACCATGTGTCTTGGACGTCAGCCTCTGCAAAGCTGGCACCCTTCGGGGAGGGTTCGCTTAGGCTACATACCTCCTTTGAGCCCTTTCGTAGAGGATAGTCCTTAAGTCCTCTGATTTGGAATAGTAAGATGATGTCTGATAAGAATGCGAGGGGTGATAACTGCTCTCTTACGAATAGGATCTCACAATCCTAGATCTCTTAAACCTTGAATGATATGAATGTGACCTTTGAGAATGCGACTAAGAATCACCTATCATATGGCTTTTCCTGCTATCCGAAAGCACTGGCGTAGGATGTTTTTTCTGGTCCCCAGAATGATGAGATCGAGTGTGCTCATCACAAATTTTGATCCTAGTGACACCTTTTCCCTTCACCTAGCACTTTAGAAGCTCCATATCCACTGTCATCTTTCTTACTGCCTCGTCGTTCTCCATGACTTTGTTCTCCAAAGCTTGGGCATCAGACGTTCTTTGTTGTTAATGTTCTTCTAGGGTTAGAGAACGTGTAGGAGAATGAAAGCGCTTGTTGCACATCTCTATGAGGCCCTCTTTGGGCTGAACGCCTAAATCTTGTATTGGATCAACATACGACAAATCTCTGTACCTCCTATTGGCCTCAGGAGTCCAGCCATTGACGAGGGAGAGTAGAGGGTCTTTATTGTTTGCCATTAAAATCTTTTAGAAGAGCTTGATCAAAAGGTTTGTTCTACGTACTTCCCACAAATGCCGCCAATTATACGAGTACGAAATAATCGTCGCTTGTATAATCCTGGTAATCAAGCTCGCACTCTTCTAAATGATATCGTATGGCCTGAAATCACAAGAACACATGAGCTTACAAGTGGGTGTATGCTACAAAACCCCTCTGATGCTTAAGTTAGTACTCAAGATCAATATGAGAAAAAGCTCTTGAATCTTGAGAATAAAATTACATTACCTCTTTTTAGGTTATAGTAGGACTCTAATTCCTCTTCATAGAATCCTACTAGGACTCATCTTCCTATATGATAATACCCACCCTTTAACACCCTCATGACTAAAGAAAGTGAAGTAGCACAACTCATTGGCAGGTAATCGAGCAAACCTCCAGTCCGGTTGCTCGCCCATTCCGTAACTGGTTGAGCCTTGCTAGCACCAAGAACCTAGTTAAACAACACGTTGAGCATGCCTAGCTCGACACACCTCTTTAGCACACGCTGACTCAGCCCGGCATTATAACTAGTAAGCTAAACCCATTGTGCTCGGTCAAACGCGCGCGAGACGATTGCCCAGTTTGCCAATGCTTACTGTTTCACCCACCTGAATATAAATAGCATAACCAACTTATAGCTCGGCCCAAAACAATAGCTTGATTTAGCTCAGCCCAAATTCCTTAATATAAATTCCCCTCTCATCTCATATACTTCTTAAAATGAATTATATTTCCATATTTCAAATAAAGAAAATAATTTATTTTATTCAATTAGATTTTTTAGAAATTAGAACATGACACCTCCGGTTGAGCATTTTGTGCAACTTGATCGCATTCATACACATCTTCAACAATGGCTTGTCAACTACCAACATAAGCTCCTCAAACAATGATGATCGATTAAGAATCAAGTCTAAGCTCTTATACCAATTGATACATGGATGAAAACGTAAAGAGCAGAATGTGAAGAAACAAAGAACCTCACAACTCTTGTACAAATTTTTTAAATCTTAAGATTATCAAAATTAGGAAAATAAGAGAAATCTCTCAACAAAATTATATATTATTAATTAAAATTATTTTTACCCTAAAACTTATAACAATTATTTATAATTAACTTAATTCTTAGAAAACAAGAAACTGTAATCGAAACTAATAAAATAAAAAAAATTAACTACATCAACACTATTTAAGAAATATAATAATTTTATGATTATGTACTAAATAGAGGATTTCTAATAAAATAATAATGCCAAAATAAATAAAATTAAAATATAAGAATAATAAAATCTCTCTACATCACTTTATGCCATAAGGAACAACAAAATTACCAATTCCATGGTTAAGTCCTTTGAGACTGTATTTTATTCATGGATTTAAAGGATGATTTAAAAGGAAAAGAGAAAAAGTGTGTGAAATATAGGTGAAATATAGTTATATTTTATTCATATTTCACCCTTTTTTCTTTTTTCTTTTCCTTCCAAATCTCTCCTCAAATTTATAAACTAAACACAACATAAAGATTAGGGACAACCCAACTCCTTTGAAAAACAATTTGTGAGTAATTCTTTGAAACTCTATAATTTTTTGAGTTAATTATATTTTCCACCTCTATAGTTTTATCCAAATTTTACTTTAGTTTTTGTAGTCTTGAATTGAACAATTTGGTCCTACACTTTACGTCCAATTTCAATTTGGTCATTCTGTCTAAATTTTCGTCAATTTTTTTCTATGTATCATATTAGAATATTGAAAAGCATCCCAAAATTATTAATTTTGATTTCAAATTTAGATGAATGACTAAATTGAAATTGAATTTAAAGTGTAATGATCAAATTGTTCAATTTAAAACAAAAAATACAAACAAATTTCTTGTCAGACCTTTTACCAGTAGATAAGCTTCACGTGTATTTATTAATTTATTAAATATGAGTTCCAATATTTTTGTATTCGGTAAGAATTTTATTTACAATTCTGTTATGAATACAGAAATTAAGCACACGAAAAGAAAAACACGTAATATACATGAATGGATAAGATTTTACCCAATTTTTTGGTGGGGTTCACTTTTGAATATTCTTATCCATCCATCCATATTTTGTATCTCTTTGTGACCAATCTCTATATATTCCTTATCTTACCAAAGACGTCCATTGCTTAACTAAAACACGTAACTATTTGGACAAGAAGTAACCAACAACACCAGCAATGAGAGTAGTAGGGTCACCAAGAATGGCTGACACAACAAATTGTAAAGCCAAACCAGCCATGCCACAATACTTATTCCCTTTACCCTTACTTTTCTGCTGATGGATCTGAATAGTGCTTTTCAAGTTAGGAATTCCACTGTCCAACTTCCTAGTAGGATTACCTGTTGTTTCAAGAATAGCACTTCTATTATTCCCTTCTCCTCCTCCTCCTTGCCCTGAACATATCTCTTGCCAATTCTCCATCACCATCTCCTTCACACAAGCAACGTGAAGATTGTACTTCTTGCACCCGGATCGGTAGCTCCAACTCCTCCCTTTCCTTCCACACCTTAGACATGACGCGCTAACCTTCCTATACAGGTACAACTTCACTTCACCGTCATCGAGCACCATGGGGAGCTTTGCGCAACAGGGGTGGAGGTCAAACCCACAAGCAGTGCAATGGTAGACAAAGCCCCCCACATTCTTCTCACACGCGTTGCAGTAGCGGGGGATGCTGCCAGGGGGGCGTTGGAGGAATTGAAACGAGCATTTGGTGTAGAAAGGGTGGGACAAAGAAGGTGAGGAGAGGAGAGCGTGGTGGCATTGGGTGTGGAGATCGTAGTCACAAGCGGTGCACTTGTAGTGGGGGCCTATGCCGACTTCCTTGCAGCCATCACACTTGAATGGAAAGTCGGTGCGATCAAAGTAAGGCTTGTGTTTGGGATTGCTAAAGTGAGAAATTTCACCATATTTCATGGTTTTGGTTTTAGCCAAGGCACAAGCAAAAAGAACTCAGGTGACCCTATATATATAAAGTTCCTTGAACTGTGGGTTTAGCATTTGTAATTGGGGACTACAAGTTGGCTTGGTGTCTAAGCAAGTAGAAGGAATTATGCCTTTTGATGGTTGTGATAATGCAAAATGAGCATATTGGTATCCATGTGAATCATGTCATAAAAGATACACTACAAAAAAAAATTAAGATTTTAAAAATCAAAATTTACGGATAAAATTATTTTTTAAGCATCAAATATTTTTGTTGCAAAAAGTGTTGCTATTATTAGTGTCATTTTCAAATCTATTTTTGGGACCAAATCTATTGAGACCAAATCTATTTATTAGTGTCATTTTCAAAATTTGTCGCTAAAAGTCTTATTTTTGGCTTTTCAGTATAATTTTGAGAGCGACTACTCTCGTGATGATGAAAATTAGTCCCTAAATGTCTTTTGCAACAAAAATTTCATTTTTAGAGACCAAAATCTTTGATTTTTAAAACTCTTATATGTTACAGTGATAATATATGAATTTCACAGTCCTAAAATATCATATGACATTATTTACATATTGTTCTTGGCAAATGAGATATTACCAAACGTACTAGGATAATCACCTCTTGTCTCCTAACTACCCAACAAAGGTACATTACAACATATAAGAGTTTTAGAGATTAAATTTTTTGGTCTTTAAAAGTAAAAAAAATTGTTGCAAAATATATTTAAAGACCAATTTCTATCGTCGTGAGGATAGTCGCTAAAAGGTCGTCCCAAAAAGTAAAAGACTAGGCATTTGGTGATAAAATTTTGAAAATATCAATAAGAAATAGATTTTTAGGGACAAAATAATTTGGTCTCAAAATTGTTTATTTTTTTAGACAAAAAATTTGGTTCCAAAAAAATAATTATTCATCACTAATGTCCAATTTTCATTGCTAAAAATATAATAACAATACTTTTCGCAACAAAAATATTTGGTTCCTAAAAAAAAAAATTTGTCCCTAAATTTTGGTTTTTAAAACCTTAATTTTTTGTAGTGGTGGGACAGTAAAGATTTCTGTTTTGTCATTCGTTCAGAGCACCACGTGGATAATGTCACCTGATACTGGGGCTATTGTATAATTATCATGTGATCATGCTATGCATGTACCATAAAAATAAATAATTAATTAATTAATTAACATAAGCTTGAGGCCAAATGAAATCAACCTCATCTAGTAAAATGAATCAGATGCTGTTTACTAGTGTTATAAATGAATCGACGCGAGTTGTTATGCATCTTGAAAAAATAAAATAAAATTGGGCAAATGCTTTGGAATATGCTTGATATATAATTGTATAGCTTTTTCAAAATGATTGACAATTAAGAATGATGGATGGGTACAGGAACGAAGGTCAACTGGCTAATGTTGTTGAACAGATCTGTCCTAAGATTTATGTTTGATTATTCAAATTATGCTAAGTACATTTTGTTCGAGAATAATACTTTTTAGAATTTAAAAATATTAGTAATATTCTGGGATTATCCATTTTATTCAATAATAATGCAGATGAAGTCTTTTGGAACGGCACAGTAGAGAAGAGAGAATAACTTCATTCCCTTCTAAATTGCTCCCTTTGAAAGATGGTTTATAGATCGGGGGAATTGAATTGGAATTTCAATTATATGAGAATAAAATGTTACTTAAACATCAAGCTTAGATAACAAGATGATATATTGCATGACAGAATTTATTCTCCATTCTCAATTATTTAGGGAACAAAATTAAATATTGTTGTTTAAGCCAAGCATATAATAGAGAACTAGACAAAGTTCAATACAAAGCTAAACCAACTGCTTTTCATCTTCCATTATAAGTATAAAGTATCATCACATGGTTTAAGACATGCTTCCTCCATAATCAAAAAAATTCCATGTTCAGGAATTGGGAATACACGACCCCCCAATAATACAGAAATTCCGGAGTCTTATATGTCTACTAAGCAGTCTCAATATAAATCGTTTGAAACTTATACCTACTTAAAAATTTAAGCATGTAAATGATGAGTTTATCTAGTATATTGTTGGTCAAGGGGAGTTCAGATTGATGCAAATAAACACACACAAAAGAAACACATAATTTACGTGGTTTGGAAATAGCCTACGTCCACGAGCAACGGAAATTCAATATATTTGGAGAGATACAAATTCCACTCTTTGTTTCTCACCACTCTCTTCTTCAACTCGATGTTTGCATATCAAATACAATTCATTACCTATCTATTTATAGGCTTCCACCGAGGGTAAGATGCGCAAGCGGTGACGGAAATTTCACTGCGTTTCAGACGCGTTCGGGAAGCTTTCATGGATAACCTTCACAAAGTGTCAATCCAAATTGAAGTTTGCTACTTGTTTCTGGATCATTCAGGAGCTTCCGGTTCTTTTTTCACAAGAGAAGCCAAGTTTCTCTTTTTTTTTCTTCCTTTATAGTGAAGTAAGAGAAATTGAGCCAACTTCTCTACATTTCTCCACCTTGACAAAAAATTCTCCATCCAAACTATATAGTGAGCAATCAACACTGCCATGCACTCGAAGGTACTTACATGTGCTCCAAATGGATTAAGCCCAAACTCTATTTGAACTTAACTCCAATTCTTTCTTTTTTTTTTCCTGCTGGGTGTTCTTTTGCTAGGAGAGATGCAATGTGCTTCTGACCCTAACCCTCTCTTGGGGATTCTCTGCCCCAAGAGTCTTCTTTTGTGCAACTGTAAAATGATCAGACTGATCATATCACTGTCGTGGTGATTGCTTCATTCTGTAGAGAGACTTTTTCTTTCCAATTAAATTTTCCTTTCCAGCTACTCGAAACCTTCCAAGTTGAGATAAGAAAATTTCTTCATTCAAATCACTATTCTTCTTGGTGAATTTCCATTTGCAGTCGATTTCCTTCTTTTTGTTTGGTAGTCGTACCAAATCCCAAGTCTTGTTCTCGTGCAGATTCTGTACTTCTTCTTCAGGTAGCTTTTCTTGCTCAGGGTTCTTTTTGGCTGCTTCAGTTGTTGAGATGTCATTCCCAACTACTGGAAATGCATAAGGTATGATATTTGCGTATCTTGCCGGTTTTTTGGTCTCTGTATTCGACTTCCTCATAGCAATAGACTCTGATTGCTACGATATTGCTGTGACTGGTTCTTCTTCAATTGCACCTTCTTCAATTCATTATTCTGAGTCTATTGGTGCATTAAACTCCACATGTTGCGTTCCAATGGCTTTGTTCTGTTTACTAGAGTCTTCAGGCTTGAGTTGTTTAAGCATTTCAGGCTCATTGAATGTGACATCGCTGCTACTTATAACCTTCTTCGATTCAACGCACCAAAGCCTATACCCTTTTACTTCACAACTAAAGCCCAAGATTACTCATTTCTTGGCTCTAGGATCAAACTTACTCCTCTTCACATGATAGTAGGTCGGACTACCAAATACATGCAATTGATCATAGTTGTTGGCATGAGTACCGAACCATACCTCCAAAGATGTTCTTCCTTTATTTGCAGCAGTCTGCAGATGGTTGATAAGGCGATAGGCATATGTCACAACTTCAGCCCAAAATTGCTTGCCTATACCGGATTGAGCAAGCATACAACGCACCTCTTCCAGTGGAGTACTATTTATCTATTCTGTCATTCCATACATGATGTACTCTACTTTCTTTCTGACAGAGTTCCTTTAGCAGATCAATAATGTTCTCTCCACCATTGCCTGATCTTAAGTCTTCAATTTTATGTCATTCTGGTTTTCCATCATCTTCTTCAATGTTGTGAAGATGTTCACAACTTCATTCTTATTCTTCATAGTGTACACCCAAACACGATGAGCATATTCTTCAATAGATGTGACAAAACAATGCTTACATTCTTTCGATGCAACTCTAGAAGGCCCCCATACATTAGTATGCACATAGTCCATCTTTTCTTCCATACAATGTTCTTCTGTCTCGAACTTGACTTTAGCCATCGTGCAATTTATGTCAATTTTATCAACTTCTTCATTCTTTCTACTATTGGTGGCTGCTCCACCTACAACTGTACTCCCTTGCAAGAAGTACAAATTCTCCTTTTTGCTTCCTTTCATTATTACCCGAGTTCCCGATACTACTTTAAGAGCTCCACCTTCCAAGGTAATCTTGAAACCTTTGGATGCTGAAATGCTCAGTGAGATGAGATTCTTCTTTAATTTTGATATATACCGTACTTCTTTCAAGGCTCGAACTGTTCCATCATGTAGCTTCAGTAGGATGCTTCATATTTCCATTGTCTCACAGTAAGCGTTGTTACCCATAAGAACTGTTCCACAATCTAACTTCTCAAAGTTATAAACCCAATCTCGATTGGGACACATGTGGAAAGTACATCCAGAATCCATAATTCATTTATTAGAATGGCACAGAAACAATGGAGTAATACAAACACAATCTGAATCTTCATTCTCCTAAGCAAGGTTGACTATAGATGTCTCATTGTCATTATTCTTCGGACAATCAGCTTTCCAGTGTCCTTTCTTTCGACAAAGGGCACATTCATCTATAGCGGGTATTCTTCTGGTTGACGGTTCCTTAGATATGGAGCGGGATCTGTTTTTGCTATTTTTGTCTGACCCCCTCCCAGATTGCTTTTTCTTCTCCGATCTTCCTCATACAACCAAGGCTCTACCTGATGTGTCTTGATAATGGGCCTTCTTATCCTTCTTTCTGTACACATTGTTAACCAATGTGTTAGACACATCTTCAAACTTGATTTCATCCTTCCCATAGAGCAGTGTGGTAATCAAGTGCTCATATTCATCTAATAAGGAATTCAGCTGCAATAAAACCTTGTCTTCATCTTCATCTTTAACTTTAACATTCAGATTGAGTAGATCAATAAGAATTTTGTTAAAGTCATTCAAGTGTTTGGACATCAAACTTCCTTTTTTATACTGAAACTGGAAAAGGTTCTTTTTCAAGTATAACCGACTCTCTATGATTTTCGTCGTGTGCTTGTCCTCCCACTTCTTCCATAGATCTTTGGCATTTGTCTCCTTCATGATAGAATACTTCTGATCTTTTGAAGGACATAACCGGATGGTACTATAGGCTAGCCAGTTGATCTTGATCCAATCTTTGTCAGACATTTCTACAAGTTTGTCCTCCAAAGCGATATCCAATTCGTGTTGGATGAGCATGTCCAAGACTTTGCATTGCCACATGCCAAAGTTGTTTCTTCAATCAAACTTTTCAACCTTGAACTTGGCATTGGAGATTGAACTCCTTCTTCCTTGGTTACTCAATGAAAATTCTTCTTCAAAATTTTGAAACCACCAAAAGAGCCATTCTTCGGGGACAGCTAAGATAGTTTGGAATAGCAACACCCTTGACAACCTCGCAAAAGTTGGATCTGAATCTGAGAAAATGGATAGCGCGATTGCGTCCAGAACAGACAAATTAGTCAGAAAGGGACTTCGAATCCCCAAAATAAAAGCTTCAAATTTTCAAATTTTAATTTTCAAAATTTGACCATACGGATGTCTCCAAAATATTCCAAATAGTTAGAAAGCGCTATTAGATCTTCAAAATTGGACTTCAAATGGCTTAAAATTAGCCAAAACAATTCAACGATTTGAATCGGCGAAATCCGATGCATTTGAGAAACACCAGATCAATTTTCTAGATCGGATGATGCCATGCTGACGTCAACAGCAAGACAGCAGTGGCGGCACGCAGCGATACGACATGGCGACACGCGCAGCGCGGCAATAGGCGGCAACGACTCGGTCAAAGCGGCTTGACCTGGTCAACGACTCTAGGTTGGCGGATCAGAGAAGGTCGACACGAGTCGGATCTGGGAACGGACGGATGCCATTAGCACGCTGACGTCGCTCGTCTTCAACCTCAGCTTTGTGAGTGAAGCACGTGCGCCTAGTCACCGGTACGTGGGAATGATATCAAGCACGCGTGTGGCACGCGAGGTCCTCCGATGTCCGTTTTTTACACTATTTTTTCCTGTGTGCTCGTATCGTCGAGAGCTACAACCTGGTGTAATCAAAAGTGAATTTCTATCACTTTAAATTCTGGGCAATTCTGAAAAAAAACACTCCATTTTTTTAAAAAAATCAACCAACTTGGCTTTAATACCACTTGTTGGGTCAGAGGGAGCCCAAGTTGATGCAAACAAGCACACGCAAGAGAGAAACACAGAGTTTACGTGGTTCGGCAATAGCCTATGTCCACGGGCAGTGAAAATTCAATATATTTGAAAAGATACAAATTTCACTCTTGGTTCCTCACCACTCTCTTCTTCTTCAATTCGATATTTGCATATCAAATACAATTCATTACCTATCTATTTAAAGGCTTCTATCGAGGGTGAGATGCACAAGCGGTGACGGAAATTTCACCGTGTTTCGAACGCATTCAAGAAGTTTCCATGGATGACCTTCATAGAGCTTCAATCCAAATTAAAGTTTGCTACTTGCTTCTGGATCATTTAGGAGTTTCTGGTTCCTTCTTCACAAGAGATGCCAAGCTTCTCTTTTCTTCTTCTTCCTTCATGGTGAAGTAAGAGAAATTGAGCCAACTTCTCTACATATATATTAAGATCAATTTGTTTTATTTTTTATCCAATATGAAACTCTGCATTCGCATATGTTCAACACACTACCAATGCATGCATGATCACATGCCATTGAGAAGGTCATTAAGGGGAATCTTAACCCATGTGGTCAAGAGTACTCAATGTTGGAAGAAGAAGCATCAAATAAGTTGGTATGCCACAACAGTGAAGTTCTTTATTTATTTATTTATTTTGCCTTTATTCTTTCTCTAATTTTTCTTTTTATCTTTTTGTTTCTTTTGGTACAAATGAAAAATATTTTGAAGTGTAAGACTTGTATGTGCTACCTAAGCTTGAAAATGTATAAATGTTTTTCTTTTAGAGGGAGTGAAATGCACTTAATAATTAAACCATTCAGATATACGATTTTATAAATAAATGAATAAAATTACATTCAAGAATATTGAAAGGATGTCCATGCAATTTACTCTTTATCCTTAAATATTAGGCTTTTTGTGATCCTCATATGCAAATTGATGTAAAATATGCCACTTTAATGATGGAGCTACAAGTAAAAAAAACAAATTGAAAAATAATTCATCTACACAATTCCTCCCTCAAAACCTCTAAATGACGTGACAAGCAAAATTTTTAAAAGTTGATACATGCTCCACTCTTCTCTCAAAACTCTCCTTATACTCAAATTCTCTTACCGGTTAGAATCATAGACGAAGATTTTGTCATGCGTGAAACACACGTACATGTAGCAACTAGTATAAAATTTGCAGCAAACCTTGCCATGTCATTTGGGGAGTTCAGGGGACAAAATTGTTTAGATGTAGTATTACTGGAAAAACAAAATAGAGGGAGAAAGAATATGAAGAAAAGAAAGAGAAAAGTTGAGCAAGTAATAATTATATGGTAAGTTTGGCCGAAGACAGGCTCACTTGAACCCATTGATCAAATAGCCGACACGCTGACATGTCAAAGTTGGCAAGTCTTGTCATTTTTTGTGAAAAATAATATACAAATTCATTTTATGAACCCAATGATATGTAAATGAGATAATTGATTGATAATTTAAAAAGATAAAAAAGAGAGAGTTGCTTTAAATATTCTAATAAACTGTCATATCATTCAGTTTAAAAGTAGATTTCATTTTTGAGTTAAAGTAAAACTACTCTCTTTTTTTTATTTATTTTTTCATTTTATCGAACGGCATGAGATGTGCCGTGTCACAGCTTTGTCTAACCCTATTAGATTTAACCCACGGAATTGTTAGCACTTAGCACCTGAGAGTCTAGAGCATACTTTGGCTTACTTTTTAGTGAATTTATCAAATATGTCTAACACTTGTAGATTTAGCAATTGATTACTTGTCTCAAAACCTCACTATGTATAAATTATTAGTTTTAAAGAAGTAACCTTGCATATAGAGAATAGAGATATATGTAACCCAATTACATAGGTTAACCTTGAATTGTTATCATCCAATATGTCTAATCTATTTATTTTTGTATTATATGGTCGTATCACTTTTGATTCTATGCCAAGAACTAGTCAACCCTAATCAACTAAATTTGTATCCAATCTATGTCATGCAGCACCGTAAATAGAAGTGTCATCCCAAGAATAAGAATTATGCAAGTTCCATTTTTAATGTGGAAAACGTTTACGAATACAAAAACTTATTACAAAACTAGACATATCCCTCTCACATAAGGTGAGCCTCATTTTTTTCTAACTCGAACACCCATATGAAAGGATTGTCTCCTCTGATTTTATAATTGGTTTCTGTACGTGCAACTAAAATAACTGTTTAAGGTCAAAATGGATTTTGTCACATGTACTTAGCCTATATAATAAATGCGTTATGTGACAGTTAAACTAACCCATCCATCCACAACTTTTTATTTATTTAGTTATATTTTTTTGGTACATTTGAGATTACCTATTTGTCAAAATTTTGAACAATATATCTATATACAAGATTCAGACTAAAAACATGATCATGGAATGAATAGGTACGATTTTAATGCTGCTTAGTACTCACATATAATTATACAGAATTTTGAAGAGACAACAGAGAAGCGCAATGAACGGGATCATCCATCATCACAAGGAAGGAAGTAGCCAGAGATTGAAAAGAGAGGAAGCTACCGAAAGAAACCATGACAGAAATGCCATGACTGCAGCTACCTGATATCTGGTGCACAACTTTGGAGGGCAAAATGACCTGTTGTTCGCCTTCAGTAGAATATCCACCACGCTTGTCGTTGAGCAGGCGGCAGCCAGCGTGAGAAAGGATAACACCTGCCATTGAACATGTTTTTCCATGTTGTTTACAAGCAAGTTGTTCATAGATTTATAATCCATTTAGTAATGTTTATATATGTATAGTTTTCTATAAAAGTTTATTTGGTGTTTATTTTTGTTTGTTAAAAATTATAAACAACTTACAAAATTTATTAAATTTTTATAACCATTTTTTTTTTTTTTTTTTGTTTCACTTGTTTGAAAAATAAATTTGCATTCATTCTTCGCTCTCCCATCACCCCTTCCAGCTACCATGCAACTCTCATCACCACTACCAGCCACCCCCACCAGAGGCGGATTCATGATTCAAACTTGGAGGGTAAAAACACATATAACTTTTCATCAAAAAAAATAAAAAAAAGTAACGTAATATTTTAAATTTTGATTTATACCAATACAAAAAAATAAATAATATTACTCTTAATCGAATATTTTTGGCCAAGATAATTGAGAACAAAAATGTAATTGAACATTTTTTTTGTCTGCATTAACTTAACAAAAATAGTAACTATTATTATGTCTCCTCTCCGTTTATTAAAGTTATCTATCTGAAACTATTAAAATCTCCACCTTTTGAAAGATATGCGAAAACCTTAAATAATATGTTTATCAATAAATGTGATCAAGTAATTGAAATTTTTTATAATTGAAAATGTATGTTTTTATGTGTAAAATTAAATTTTATGAACTCACTTTTAAGAATGCCGTGTTAAATGTACACAATATTTTCATTTCCGGACAATATTCATATTTCTAAAGAATAATCAAGCTAGGGTGAATGCAAAATAAGGTGCATAAATAAATTAAAGTGTGAATTATAGAAAGGGAAAATAAAATAAAACATAAATGAAAAAATAAAATAAGAATAGTAACAAGTAAGAACAAATAGAAGAATATAAATAACTCTAAACAATACAAAAATATAACAAATAGAATATATCAATATTTGATAAAATTCGATTTAGAAATTATTTTTTAAATTTTGTAATGCAAATAATTTGGAGGTGCAAATCTTTATAATTCTGAGGGTGCAAACTACTAAAATTTTGGAGATACAAACTGTTCTAATTTGAATTATCTTACTAATTACTATTATAATATACATAGTTTTAAAGAAATTTGGGGTGCATCCTTCTCACCTCCAGCACCATTGCTAGCGACCACCTCTGGCCACCACTTCCGGCCATTACCACCCATCGACAAGAACCTCTGACTACCAACAGCCAAAAACCACCCCCAACCACCAACTCTGGCCACCATCTCCAACAGCCAATAACCACCTCTGACAGCCATCTCCACCACTACCTCTAGCTGTCAAAAACCACCTCCATCTATCGACAACTACCTCTAACCACCACCTTCTGCCAAAAACCACCTTCGACCACCAATTCTAGCATGTAACAACCATCTCCAACTATCAGTAACCACCACTTTCTATCAACAATCACCTTTGACCACCTCCTTTCACTTACTTTTAAAATAAAATTTTAAAATTCATGTGCATCCCAATTATTTTTTTGTTTTTGTTTTTAAAAAGGAAAATATTACCAAAGTACAACTTATCATTTTGGTTAGAGTCAAAAGCAGGGACACACATACCCAGTCTCCAACCACAACAGTTAGTAGGATGCCAGGCTGACGGGGAGGGCACTTAACCAGAACAGAGTATCCATCAACCAGTGCCAGAGTGAAACTCCATGGGATTACTAAACCCATAATTGTTACCAAGAAGCTGCACAAGATCCAATACCCTTTTTATGTAGAAATCAACTTTGGGGCCAAAATTGTTGCTTTAAAATAGAAACATAAAAAAAAAAACAAAACAAAACAAAACAAAAAACAATTTAAGATCCTCAAATGATCAAGAAAATAAACTTAGGCCTTTACCGTATATGAACTTGGGCACACTCTCTTCCTAATAGTATTATAACCTGAAGGGTTTTCAAAATATTATTGACTTAAAAGTGCCATGTGATCATGTAGTGTTGAGCCGCTGTCCCAAGAATATAGAATAACTTCTGGCAGTCTTGAGAATCATCATATAATATTTTCTGTAGATGGAAGATGCTATAGAGTTTGGGGAAAAGACGAATTCATTCTCTTAGACAGAGCAGTTCGTAGATGAAAAATTGTTTAGCACATTTGGAGTATTCCTCCGACCAATAAAACCTTCCTTTCATTGGAAGATTATTCAGTGGAATTATTTTTTGGTCTGGCCACTCAAATTAGCCATCTCGAACAATATAGGACTAAAATTTGATCTCCTGACATTAGGCTAAATATCAACATATAATATCGAATCCTATTAATATGCATATCAATCAAAATGGTGTAGCGTGTTCTTTGAACACACTATCTGCCCTTACTCTGAGAGCACTGTATAATTTGTCAGAAAATGATATTCAGATACTTAATTTTCATACAAAATTTGAAGACAATTATGTTGTGACAATGACACTCTTGCAATTATGAATTATGTTGATGGGCATTTTGACTGTCAATGAATGGATATAAATGTGAAACATTATTCTGTATAAATTTTTCATATACAAATAAAGTTTTTATGAAGAGGAGGAACTCAAGGTAATGCACAGACAATTGGGAGGTATAGAAAATGGCAAGCTAAGCAAGTTGAGTGAGTGGGTACATCGCACTAGAGGCAAAAATTATTGTAGGGGTATTTATCGAATTGGGATCCTCCCCTTTATTTCGGTCCTTCATTCCCTCTTTGCAGGGCCTTCGGGCCCACTTTGAGGCTCAATTTTGATAATCCGAACCGTCGTATTTTTAGATTTATTCAGTATATCATACCTGTAAAAAATCAAGTTAATCGAATATCATAAAGCATGTGTTCGGAAAACTGTTTATTAAAAATAGTTTGTAGTCCCAATTTTCTGAACGGATATTTTCTGATATCCGATCAACTTGATTTTTTACAGGTATAATATACTAAATAAATCTAAAAATATGAACGGTTCAGATTATCAAAACTGGGCCTCAAAGTGGACCTGAAGGCCCCTGCAAGGAGGGAATGAAGGAGGGTGCTCAAGGAGGAGATCTGGACTCGTATTTATCTATGTCTGACAACTATCATCAGCAGCACAAGATTATTATAATGATTCAATGATTTCCAAAGCTAACTTCCAAAATACATACACATGATCTCTCTCTCTGTCTCTCCCCCTGCAAGGAGGGAATGAAGGAGGGGGCTCAAGGAGGGGATCTGGACTCGTATTTATCTATGTCTGACAACTATCATCAGCAGCACAAGATTATTATAATGATTCAATGATTTCCAAAGCTAACTTCCAAAATACATACACATGATCTCTCTCTCTCTGTCTCTCTCTCTCTCTCTCTGTGTGGGGCGGGGCAGGGCAGGGCAAGGCAAGCAGTTACTCTTTGATAGAATTTGCGATGAAACAAACAAGCCATTGAGAAAAATCTACACATCAAATTTCAATGCTTTACAAAAAATGAAAACATAAAAAACAAAAACAATGTCAAACAACATGCCCAGTATTTCTCTCAAAGCCTATATCCAGATTTAGCAGTTTCTGTAGAACTTGGCAAGCTTTTGTTTGGGTAAAACAAATGGAAAGATTAATGTATCACAAGTTTTCAAAGATGCATATGAGAATATACAAGCAAATTGTTTTATACTGTTTGGGACTTGGAATTGTTAACATACAAAAAAAGAAAAGCATTGGAAAAAAATATATATGTATATATATATAAAGAAAGGAGAGATCTGTTCGGTTGGGATTGAAAATTAAGAAGAAAATGAACCGGTATTTTTTAGAAAGAGGAAAAAAAATCATTTTACTATCCTCTTTTTTTTTAATCAAATTCAAGATCCAAGGATAATATTAATGAAATATAATGAATTAAAATAAGCAACCCAATTAATTATCTTGAAAAAAATAAAAACTGTTTCTATGAAACAATCTCCAAGTAATTGGGAATTGCTGGGCTATCCACCATTGAAATTCAGAACCTTTTTTTCCAGCATAACAGAAAAATATAAAAGTGATCTATATACATACATCCAGAATTAGAGAGAAAAAACAAGTAATTCAAGAATTTTTGACATGGGTATCACAGTCACATATGATACAATCATACACTAATTCAAACAAGTCTGGGCATACACTATGCTTGTGTGAAGCAGTTAGATCAATTACGATAGTTACTAAATTTGAACTACTTACATTTGAGAGGGGTATTTTAAGTATAAAAAAAAAAAAATGGAGAGAAAGTTTCAAACAACTGTGTGCTATATATATATATATATATATGGATATGAGAATCAAAGGTGGGTAAAGGACAAGAATTGAAGGGGGATTAATTACCAGAAGGCAGTGTAGCTGTAGAACTCTACACCCAAGGACATGAAAAGCAGAGAAGCAGAAGAGAAGACTGTTTGGCCCAATCTCAAAGCAAAACCAGCACTGGTCCCCACAGACCCAGGTACCTCATCCATCCTGATGATGATGATGATGATGATGATCCATGAGATTCAGATCTAGTTCTTCTGGAATTGGGAGATCAACAGTTCATGATTATGGTGGACTTCCTCTGCCACCACCCCAAACTTGTCATGAATTACTAAAACCAGTCAAGTGATTGTGTGCTTGTATTGTTTCCAAAACTATAGATGAAAATTGTACTGTCCCCAGATTTGCTCTGGAACTTTTTTTTTCTTTTTTCTTTTTCTTTTTTTTTTCCCGGGAAAAGAAAATTGTGGAATAAAGAAAGAAAATTAAGTTGGTGGGTTGAGGTTGGAGGGTGTGAGAGATCAAACTTCTCTCTCGTGAGTGTGTTGGGCGAGTTTACAGGAGGGAATTTGGACCCATTGATTGCGTATTTTTGTGACACTTGTTGTTTTTTGGAATCGTTTATAAGTTGATTTTTTATTATTATTACTATGAAAATACATATAGAAAAGGAAAGAGATGATATGATTCAAATAAGTCAATAAATTATTTTTTTTTTAAGATATTGTTAAAAGAAGTTACTGCTATGGATCAAAATTCCTGTACGGAAAATACTCAGAAAATACCTATAATATTTATGTAATAAAGTAGATCAATTTTTTTAAAAATATCTTATATAACATAATTGAGGATTAATGATTGAATAAATCCATTGCTAATATAAACCAAAAAAAAAAAAAGGTTCCATGTGATAACTTGACAACTACAATTGAATAAATTTAAAAGTAATGTTAGCGATTTTAAAAGTTTTATTAAAAAAAATTTGATAAAATTTTTGGAATTTCTAACATTTTTCTAAATTTAAGAAACATTTATGAACCGATTCTATTGACTAAACTTATTTATCTTTAGGTCCTGTTTCTTTTTTTAACTATCAATGTCTCTAAAATATTCCCACATTATCTCATCTAGCACATCAACCATAACACTACTGTCATGACCCCTACTATCAATAATTACCTCCAATCATCGACAACAACCTCTAACTTCCAGCAACTACCTGCTACTATCGATGGCTACCCGTTTCTAACTACTAACAATTACCTCTAATCTTAAGTGACTTTGGGTGATATTTTCCTGACCATTTTCCAACAAAAACAAATGTTCATCTCCTCACCACATCACTACTACCACTGCATCCGTAGTTCTAGTAGCAACAAGAGAGGAAAAATAAATAAATAAATAAATAATGATGAGGAAAAATAAATGTATCATTTGGTAGAGTTTTCTAAATATCATTTGAGAACAGGAATTGTATTTTGAGTTTGTGAGCTTTGAAATTATGATTTGAGTGTGAAAAATTTGTTTGGTGAATGAATTTTGAAAAGAGTTTGAATTGAGTGAGAAATTTTTGATGTGACATATGATATTTGATACAAAAACTTGCAATTCATAACCAAATACACAACTCAAAATTCTATTCAAAACTCATAAAAAATTTAAAAATTTTTGAAATTTTTTTTTTAATTTAAAATATAAAAAATAACAAGTGGCAATTGTTTAAAAAAAATTAAAAAAATTGCATTGTTTCAGTCAACTAACCGGATGTCCAGGACAACGACCGGTTAGCCCAAATTTTCCCGCCTTAGATAGAGTTTTCAAAAATAAGTGTGAAATTAATTTTTGAAAACTATAAACAACGTCACGTGCAAACCAAAAGATGGAACTAAAGTTCCAAAGCGTTACCAAACAAAGCCAATTTTACTAGAAACTAATTCACATTAGTTTTCACCATCATAGATCAATATAAGACCATTACATTTGTAAAAAATTACAAACGTCAATTTACTCATTCACATTCACACTTATACTCACTCACTCACAAGACACACATATCATACATATATACACATAAAGAACCAAAGATTGATAAATTTATCACTGCAAAAAAATTACAGCGAATCTATTTGAAAAATAAAGAGATCTCTTAGAGTCATTTGTAGTCGATTTACCATTGAAACAACTAGATTGGTGTAGATCTAGAACTTGATCGGTGGATCGACAATGATAGAGTGGAGATCGGAGATGTAAACTGTAGATCGACAGCAATGAAGTATAGATCAGTGATGGTGGAGGTGGTTGGTGAATTGGTGGTGGTAGATTGGCGATGATAAAGTGTAGATCAATGGTGGTAGTGAATGGACTGTGGTGCTGGTGAGTGGAAGATGACAGTGGCACTGGTGACAGCGACGGTGGCGGTAACCAATAAACGACAATGGTGAAGGTAGTCAACGATGGTAGCGATAATGGTGGCAATATGATGCTCTTGGAGAAATGTTGGAGAGAGAGAGAGAGAAGATAAGAGGATGAAGGTAAAAGAAGAATATTTGGATTTATTAGTGCACACAAAAGATATGTAAGACCTATAGGTATTTAAGTCCATTAAATGGGACTGCACTGTAATTATCTCTAAATTTAATAGTTAATATTGTTTATTGAATAATGAAGTAATTTCAAATATGAATAATGGTACTAAATAATACATTTTTTTTCTCCATGTAACTTTAAATTTTAGGAGAAATAATTGTCTAGTGAGAAAGCAAAAAAAAAATTACAAAATCATAAAAAAATAAAATATTTTAATTATTAAAATGTATAAATTTTTTCACCGATTTACTCTTTTTTTTCCCTTAGAACATCTCCAACATTTTCTCTTTTTTTTTCTTTTTTTTTTTACATCAAATTTGAGTAAAATTTAAATAAAAGTTTAATTTGATATCGAGTGTTCCAACAGAAAATTTTGAATTTTCATCAAATCATCGGTCGACCAGGAGGATGTCTGGCCGATCAACCGGCCAGTATAAATTGTCTAGTGTAAATTGTAAAGAAGTAGATGTCCGGGGAGACAATCGATAGAACAACCGGCCGGTTGTCCGATACTCCTACACTAACGGCTATTTATAATAATTTGATGAAAGGCTCTAGACATTCTTAATTTGATGAAAATTTTAAGATATTATCAATTTGATATCAAACTGATAATCAATTTTTCATTAAATTTAAATTTAATTAAAGATCTGATGAAGGGTTAAAGACGCTCTAACTGTATTTGTTTCTGTGATGACCTACGAATTTATGATCTGAATAATACTTTAATCATGTGGATTTGACATATGAAATTCTGTTACATACAAGCATATTTTTAGAGAGAATATGCTCTCTCCATAATTTTGTAAAGATGAATAGATTTCAAATTTTTGTTATTTCGATTATTTTGAATTAAGAATTCAAATGGAGATTTATTGAACAAAGAAAAAAAAACAAAAAAAAAATGCTACAAATTCCTCCTAAAATTCTTGATATAGACCTAATCTTGATGAGTACAGAAATTTTTGCTACTGGTACTTTTAGACACTACATAAACTTTGAAGTGTATTTTACTAAAAAGTGGATTGAAAACAACAATTTCATTTTTTTGTATAAAATTTTGGACACTAATTTCTAATCTTTTTGGCCAATAGTCCAAGCATAAATCTTTTTAAATCAAAAGTACATTATCTATTCAAAAATACATATCTGTCTAAAAAGTATATTTATTTGTTTAAAACTTATTTATTTGTTTAAATATCACTTATATGTATGCATAACACCTATTTGTTCAACTATCTATTCGAATGTCACGCACCTGTCCAACTCACTGCCACCATTCACTGTTGGTGATTTTATTTATCACCAAAAAGATTAAATCATTGGATCAAATAACATATGACCTCATAAAAATATATTTTTTACTAATTAACCCTAAAAAATTTACATAGATAAATCATATGGCATTCAAAACAACCACCAATATAATTCATAAGAGTAATACTACTGACCTCAAAAATTCTACTAAAATTTCTATCAAATGTCTCACATGGGTGTGGAACCCACACCATCTCACACACATGTAGGACATTTGGTAAAAATTTCGATAGAATTTTTAGAATTTCTAACATTTTTGAATTCATAATTTCAAACAACTCTACAAACTCAGAACTAGAACACATTTACATGGAATGAACTTGATTTTTTTAAATGGGATCGACAAGCCTTGCAAATTCTTATTCATCCATGTAATTTTATGCACATTTTTGTGTCTGTTTTTATCATTCCAAAATGCCACCACCACATTATTTCTAACCTTTTTATGTAAATTATTTTTCTTTAATTAAATAACATAGAATTTTCAAATTTTTCATTATTATTATTATTATTGTGAAATCCTAAATTCTTACCTTGCCGACATGCAGGACCAAATTAGCATGTTCTAAAAGTGTTGCATCCCTGGCGTCTGTATGCATACAATACAAAGTGAAGGAAAAAAAAAAAAAATTTTTGCTAGCAAGATCCGAAAGGGACATTTCTTTGAGTACTTCTTTTCACTATTGCTATTCGATAAATTTGAAAATGTAAAAATAAACAATTCTTTTAAAAAAGTCAATACAAATCTTTATGAAAGTACTAAGATTATTACTAAAAAAACATATTATGCAAATTAAAAAATTATATATATTTTTTGTTTAAAGAAATGAATGCACTTTTCAGTTGCTTAAGACATACAGTAGCACAAATTGAGGTGTTATTTAAAAAGGGGAGATTTTATTTTATTTTATTTTTTAAAAAAAATTATTGAAAAGCTTAAAAAATCATACCGAAAAATTCAAAAATTCTATTGCTTATTTTTACTTTTTTGTACATTTAAAAAAAAAAATCACCCCATATTCTAACCAAAAAACTAAAATACTACTTAAAACAAAAAAAAGTCACTTTCAAATGAACTAGGATGTCAAACCAATACATGAATTATTGCACTGAGTACCAAATGCTTTTTGAAAGAAGGGCTATGGACTAACCACGTGTCACGCCTTCAATGACGCCCTGATAGCTGGAAATATATAGTGGTGTAGTGAGCCCCTTTCCAACTTTAAAAAAGAGAAATGTTTGAGGCCCGAAATTAGTGGCTTAAATTCGACTCAAAACTCAAAATGACGTTGTTTGGATTTTAATTTTTTTCTTTTTCTTTTTCTTTCTTTTCTTTCTTTCCTTCTTCGTTTTGAACACAAGAGAAGAGAAACAGAGGCGAGAGGCGAGAGAGAGTCGTCGCAGCTCGTCGTCGTCGTCGCAGCTCGTCGGCCGATCGTCGCATCGCAGTCCCGCCTCCGCCTGCAGCCCGATTTTGATGGCCCCTTCGTCGTCGTAGCTCATCGGCCGATCGTCGCATCGCAGTCCTGCCTCCGCCTGTAGCCCGATTTTGATGGCCCCTCCAGTTCTGCTTCTCCTTCTTCTTCTTCTTCCTCCTCCTCCTTCTCAAATTCGAGCCAAATTCGAGCCGGGACTTTCGGGCTCTGTAGCATGATTCTTTAAAAAAATGCTCCAACAATTAAAGAATAATTAATTGACTGCAGGTTTGCATATTCCATTTGAAAATCGAAAATTGTTGCACAACAGTTCTATAAATTTTTATTACTAATCATTCATGAAAATTACTCTTGAAACAAATACACATCCACAGACAAACTCTGCTAGCAAAACATTACAAAAAACAATGGTTGTACGCTTCATTTCTTTCAATAAAAAATATTTTCTTATGTTTAATTATAATTTTGAAACTATTATCTTAATAGTTGTATTAGTAATGGTAGTAGCTGCGATGGTGGTGCTAGTGAAGTGGAATTGCCGTGGAGGTAATGGCAGCAGCATAAGTGGAAGCAGTGGTGTGGTAACAGTGATGGTGTACAAGTGGTGGTAGTAATAGTAACTATCATGGAAATGGAAGTGGTGGTGGGTAGGGTGGAGGTGGTTGTGATGGTGAAAGTAGTGTAGCAACATTGGTAAAATCTTAACCCGACAAACGTTTTCTGTTTTTCAAAAGTAAAAACTCTTTCCACTCAAATAAGATTGTCTTGTTGATTACGGGAAATGTTTTCTATTGATTTTTATTTTTCCTTCATACCAAATATCAAAAATTGCAAAACATATTTTCCACAAACATAAAGACAAAAAAGCTTTGGTGGGAATTATAAAAATAACTTATAGATTATTTTAATATGAGAGTTTGTATCAGACTGTTTAGTGCAGCTTCTGCTTATAACTTATTAGGTAAAAATAACTTAAATAAACTAAAAATAATAATTTTTCAAAAGGTGAATGAATGATACTTTTAACTTTTACTTTTTAATCAGTAACTTTTAGTTTAAAATAATTTTCACCGAACACCCGTATTACCCAATAACTGAGCACCACTACTAGCACAAGGCACATTCAAAATGCCACAGTAACAAACATAAGAAAAGGTGAACCTGAATTCTATCTTCTAATGCCGTGAAATTTAAAGTAACACGTAAGCTTTACCACTAGTACATGTTTGCCTCACAATTACTGGTTCAAAAGAGAAAACTGATCTCTCCATCCCAGCATTCCCTCCCTACAGGCACGCCCAACTGCACCAGAAGAACATAAAAAGGACAAATTAATAACCAATTAACCAAGGTTTTGAAAATTAATTGCGGTCACCGCAACAATTACAGTTGCCGTAATGGTGATGGCAGCACAATTGCAATTGCAAAGTATAAAAGTTGTAACATAACGGTTGCGGTAATCGAAATCGTTTTTTATTTCACACAATTTGAAAAAAAAAAAATTATTGATACGATATTTTTTTTCCAAATAATGTTATATGCACCAACTAGTATACTAATTAGTACATCAATTGATGATGTGACATAATTTAAGATATTTTTAATATTTATAATTTATATAATGAGTATGATCAATAATAATGTAATAACTAGTATTAATATAATAGTTAGTATACTAATTGATGCATTTAGCACTATCATCTTTTTTCCATAATCGTATTTATTGAGTTTTAAAATAAATATTGATCAATTCTTGTAAATTTTTAAGTATGATCTAATATATTTCATATTTATAAATCATTATAAACCAAGTTTTTTACATTTTATTATTATTATTATTATTATTATTATTATTATTATTATTATTATTATTATTATTATTATTATTATTATTATTATTATTATTATTATTATTATTATTATTATTATTATTATTATTATTATTATTATTATTATTATTATTATTATTATTATTATTATTATTATTATTATTATTATTATTATTATTATTATTATTATTATTATTATTATTATTATTATTATTATTATTATTATTATTATTATTATTATTATTATTATTATTATTATTATTATTATTATTATTATTATTATTATTATTATTATTATTATTATTATTATTATTATTATTATTATTATTATTATTATTATTATTATTATTATTATTATTATTATTATTATTATTATTATTATTATTATTATTATTATTATTATTATTATTATTATTATTATTATTATTATTATTATTATTATTATTATTATTATTATTATTATTATTATTATTATTATTATTATTATTATTATTATTATTGTTGTTGTTGTTGTTATTATTATTATTATTATTATTATTATTATTATTAAACAATATATAGATAGACACAAGCAAATAAAATGATTGAGTGTCATTTTGGGAACATGGTAAAAAGCCACGTTTTTAGACAAAATGTCCAAAAACGTGGCTGCCAAAAACGCCAGAAAAGCCATTTGACAAGTGCCAAAAACGCAGCCGTAAAATTACAAATTAGGGCCTACGAAAAAAAATTAAAAAAATAAATCTCTTATGTTGGATAAGAGTATTTTGGTCATTTTAATTTAATTTGACACCATAAATAAATATTAAACTAAAAAGCAAAAAGCCAACTTTTTACCAACTTCTCAAATCACTTCCAAAAAAGCCAAAAAACTTGATAAAAAGCCAAAAGCCAACTTTTTACCAACTTCCCAAAACAACCCTGAGTGATAACAGCTGAATAGAATAGCATAGGTCTTATAGTTTTAACAAATCAATAACATATTCTTCATCTTCCCTCTTCTCTCTCTATCTTTCCCCATTTTCAGCCTTTCTTTTTTTTTTCGAAAGAAGTTCAGAACCGTTACGTACTTACGTAACAGACCATTACGGCACCGTTACGACCGCTACGACCAACATACCTGTGAATCTCAATCACACCGCAAAAGCGACTATAACAGATGGCAATAACTACCGCAACCGTTACGTAACGGCATTACGTAATGGTTAGCTTATTTTAATATGAGAATTTGTGTCAAACTGATGCAACTTCTGCTTATAACTTATTAGGCAGAAATAATTTAAATAAATTAAAAAAAAAATAAGTTTTCAAAAGGTGGGTAAGAGATACTTTTCACTTCTACTTTTTGACCATCAACTTTTAACTTAAAATAATCTCTACCAAACACCCCTACTACTCAATAACCGAGCACCACTAATAGCACAAGGCCCGTTCAAAATGCCACAGTAACAAACATAGGAAAAGGTGAACCTGAATTCTATCTTCTAATGCCATGAAATTTAAAGTAACATATAAGCTTACCACTAGTACATGTTTGCCTCACGATTATTGATTCAAAATAAAAGAGAAAACTAATCTCTCTCCATCCAGTATTCCCTCCCCACAGGCCCGCCCAACTGCATCAGAAGAACACCATAAAAAGGATAAATTAATAACCAGTTAACAATGAAAAAACGAAAGAAAAGAGAGAAAAATAAAGGTTCCATGAATCATCTGATCTTGGGGGAACTTTCTAGTGGCTCGTGATGATATCACGCTTACTATGAAACACAAATGAAACTACAACGAATTATAATCTAAACATCCGTATTCCTAATAACCGAGACCATATTGACCAATGAATTTTGTATGGAGCAAGAGAAAAAGGGCACAAGAACTTGAATTAGAGAATGAATTTCACAAAAGCTGAAATAACTGAAGCCATCTTGAAGAATGGGTTGTTTGGAGCAAGAGAAAAAAAGCAATAACGACATGAATCAGAAAAGTAAACTTCACAAAAGCATAAATAACTGAGGCCATCTTTAAGAAAGGATTTTGTTCGGGGCAAGAGAAAAAGGACACAAGGACATGAATCAAAGAATGAACTTGACAAAGTATGTACGTGAAAGCCATTGGAAGAACCACGAGTCTTTCAAAGGAAAAAGAATTATTTGATTGGAATTCGAGAACAGGAAAGGTGCCACCCAAAACATGAAGGAACCTCGAATCACTCCACTTTTATCATTAAATACAAAATCAATTACATTTCTCGAACTTCATACAGAGATCTACCTCAAGAAAGAAACCCAACTTCATGTAATTTTGTACACAATGATATAGTGTCACACATCAACGAAAGGAGTAATAATATAATGGAACCTCAAGAGTAACCAAACCTGGAACATTACACAGATGACCATAAAGACGATTTACAATAAAATATCAGACCCAGTGTGCATGCCCATCCAACCAGGGTTGGCATGCTCCAATTAGCTACCATCTCACCACAACATAGGATTTGCCTACATGTCTCATGCCAGCAATCACAAGGCATCTATCTAATCAAACAATCATGAGGCATCTATCTCGTTTTCCCATTGTTTCAAGTAGATCAATCTTTGTTATGAGTGTCTTAGAGCAACTCCAGCCCTAGTCATCTTTTGTCAGCTACCATAAATATTTTAGCCAAGCACTTTGCCTAGTAAGTACTCCAACACTACCCTATCTAGCTCTCTATCCAAACTAATTTATGATTGTTACAGCACACCACGTCAACGTTAGAAAAGAGGGAGTGTTCTTTGGAGTTTGAAGAGCTTTCAATGGCTCTCTAAAGGTAGAGAGCAAAAAAGAAAGCAGGTAAATTAACTTATAGCATTTAGAGAGCCTATTGGAGTAGTGAAAAATGAAAATGGCTAACTATTTTACCTAACAAGCCTTATTTAAAGAGCCATTTGGCGTTTCTCTTACGCTGTGTTTGGTTGGGGGATTTGAGAAGGGAAATGGAAAGGGAAATGGAAATGAAAGGAAAAGGAGAAAGAATTAATAGAATTCCAAATCCCAACTATATTTGATTGTGTTGGTTATAAAATAGAATTGATGTCCTAAAAGGTCTTCTATTTCTTTATTTATTTCTCACCCCCTTTCTTTTCCCATATATTTTTTATTATAACCAAACATAACTAGGATTACATTTGTCATTCCTTTTCCAAATCCCACCCCAAAAACCCCAACCAAACATAGCATTATGGTGTGTTTGATTCGGAGATTTGGAAAGGGAATGAGAAAAGGTAGGTAAAATATGAATAAAACGTATCTACATTTCATCTAATTTCACACACATTTTCTATTTCTATTTCAAAATCCCTCCCCAAATCCCTCAGCCTCAGCCAAATACAGGGTTAGATTAAGAAATTTGCACCTATGCAAAGGTAGACACAAAAAAAAACTTTTCAAGATTAGCTAACGAACAAATATGAAGTTTGAAACAAGAGGACAAGTTTTTAAAATCCCATCTGCGTCTATCCAAATAACATTACTCAAAGAGAACCCTTAAACCACTGCGACAAAAGCATCCTCCTCAAAGAAGGGGGAAAAGGAAAAGGTAAAGCCATAGGTAAAAGTAATGAATCCTCAAACCAACCATCAAGCTCCAATTGCACATTACCATCTATCTACGAAACATGGACATTGATTCGGGACACACATATAATATGATACAAATATGTCTGTAAAATTTTAAAAACATATAGTATACAGATACATCAAGGACATGTTTATATAATGTATGAGCTAAAAAATTTAACTTAAAACATGGTTTTGTCAGGTAGGGACATGGAATGTGTGCTTTTTTAGGGCTTACATCCAAATAACATTACTCAAAGAGAACCCTTAAACCACTGCGACAAAAGCATCCTCCTCAAAGAAGGGGGAAAAGGAAAAGGTAAAGCCATAGGTAAAAGTAATGAATCCTCAAACCAACCATCAAGCTCCAATTGCACATTACCATCTATCTACGAAACATGGACATTGATTCGGGACACACATATAATATGATACAAATATGTCAGTAAAATTTTAAAAACATATAGTATACAGATACATCAAGGACATGTTTATATAATGTATGGGCTAAAAAATTTAATGTAAAACATGGTTTTGTCAGGTAGGGACATGGAATGTGTGCTTTTTTAGGGCTTACTCGAAAAGAGTGAGATGTGAAGAAGGAGGAGGAGGAGGATTAGAAGTCGAGGTTGAGTTGTTCATTGCGATCAGAGAAGTAGTGGAGAACGTAAGGGGTGATCCGAACCACGGTGACCCAAACACCGAACATGGCTACGTGGCTGCGAAGCTGCTTCAGAGCCACTTCTTTGTCCGGTTTCCGAGCGAACATTCCCGGAAACATCCTTGCCTCGTCTTTCTTTCTTTTATTTTTTCTTTGCAGAGAAGAGAAGAGAAGAGAGTCGTTCTGAGTTATACTACTGAAACTAAAACCCTAGCTCTTCTCCCCAGCCCACTTATGATATGTATATATCGGTGCGACTGTGTTGGGTCAGAGTTCGGAAGACTTGGGCCCGATGTTGGTTTGGACTAAGCTAATGTTGGGTTTAGGTTAAAAGCTCACACTCTAGTTGAACTCGGGCTGATTTTATTGACCACTGCTTCTTTCTTTTTTTGGGATAAATTACCAATAGATTCTAATAGTTGAACTTAATTCCCATTAAATCCTATTGAAAATAAGTCTTAGTAAAATTGTTGTTAAAATAATTTTTTTTGTGACAATTTTTTATATATGTCTCTAAAAATTGACAATTAGTGACTTTTTTTTTGTCATGATTTTTATAAATTGTCGCTAAAATTTACAATTAGTGACCTTTTTTATGAATTTTTTTTCCATAAAACCTATTAGACAATAAGTTCACTTATTAGGACCTACACGTAAGTACCCCTTTTTTTTTGTCTACATTTTTTAATTTTTTATGAAAAAATATGAAATGTGAGTTAAGATTAAAATGATGTATTAGAGAGGTAGCGTGATTTAAATAAGAGGCGATATAACTCAAATAAAATAATTGCAACTCAAAAACCATATTGTATAGTATCATGTTCTCAAATAAGATAATGTGCTAAATAGTTGTTTAGCACATGCCAAACAACTATTTAGTCTTAAAAAAGTACTTCGTATAGTATTCTATGCAAATTCAAATTTAATCCAGTTTAGATCACACTTCGAATAAATTTGATTTACATTACATTTCATTTTCAAATTAAATTTTCAACCATGCTACATCCCATCAATATAGCACCCTTACTTTATCCCTAATGACATGGAAGAGAGAGATAGAGAGAATAGTGTGGGCCCATCCTTTCACATGATCTATGCCATGTCATTAGAGGTGAATTGACAGTGCCAAATTAGTACTCCCAAGCATTTTTTATAAATTTTTGTATGTGTATTATAATTTTCAAAAATTCTATTTACACACCATCAACACTCTCAATGCATACCATCTTCTATGTTCACACCCTATCAAATTTCAAATTTTTTCATTTTTCTCAAAGCACACCATGTATTTTCAAATAAATCGAAAATATCCTCTTCTTCTCAAAATGTCTAACCCTAACCCAAACCCTAATATAGTCACTGCCGCCACCGCCTACAACCTATTCGACCATAACCCAACCTCATTAGCCTCCATAGGCCCGTCATCATCAGCTTCTTCTACCTTCTAAAACCACTATCGTCTCTTCCCTAACCCACCTTGTCGCTACTAACGCCAATGCCATCATCTCCGTCCTAAACAACTCCGACTACGATGACAGATAGTTGATAAAAATCACAATCACGATAGAGAGACTAAAAGATATTAGAGATCGAGAGCGAGAGAGAGAGAAATGGGAGAATGAGGGAGACTATGGAGGTGGCGGGGAGGAATGGTGAGAATGGGTTGGGTATGAGCTGAAAAAGTTACCGGAGATTATGGTAGTAACGATGACCATGGTAGTAGCGATAACAGTAATGGTAGAACAAGGAAAGAAAAAAGAACAAACATAGCGACAACCGGGCTAGGCAAGATGCCGGCAGTGGCAGGTTGCTGGTGGTGGGCGAAGGAGTGTGATGGTAGATTTGATTTTAGGATTTTTGTCCAAAATGGTAATTTCATTCAAGGACACAATGGTAATTTAAAAAAATAGCCAATGGTTTGTACTGAGAATAATGATGGTGTGTAAATAGAATTTTCCTATAATTTTTTCTTTCTTTCTTCTAAATGACAAATATCTACCTTTACCATGCGTTTAAGCTATGTTTGGTTGGAGGATTTGACGAAAGATATGGAAAAAGAAAGGGAAATAGAAAGAAAAGAAAAAAAAATTAATATGATTCGAATTTCAAGCTATGTTTGGTTGAGTTAGGTTGAGTTAGGAAATGAAGAAAGAAAAGAGTTTAAAGTGAACTCAAAAGACAAAATGTGGAATTACATTTCCCTCGTACTTTCTTTTCTTATGTTTTTTACATTTTATTTTAATAATTAATAACTTTATATATCATAAATCTACATTACACTTGTGACAAAAAAAATAAAAAAAACATTATTGGACTTGAATGTATAAAATTATTTTTTTAATTATTATACTTGTTGAAGCATATGCAAATTTTAACTTGAATCATTTTAAAAAATAAATTATACATGCTAATGTAATCATATAAAAATTAAAAAATAAATTATAAAGAAATTTTTATTTTATTATTTTTTATTCTTGGTTTGGATCACTTGAATATTCATTCTCTTTTTGGATAATCTATAAATAAAAATAAACAAACTAATCAAAAAATAATTGACATGCATAAAATATATATTAATATATAATTATAGGCGTTATGTTTTCTAAATATTTTACAAAAAAAAAATTAATCACTAACTATTATATATAAGATAAACAATGACAAAAATAGAAAATAAATAAGAGCCTATATATATATATATATATTAATCAAACTAAATAGATAATGACCACACTTGTTGTTGTTGTTATTATTATTATTATTATTATTATTATTATTATTATTAAACAATATATAGATAGACACAAGCAAATAAAATGATTGAGTGTCATTTTGGAAACATGGTAAAAAGCCACGTTTTTAGACAAAATGTCCAAAAACGTGGCTGCCAAAAACGCCCGAAAAGCCATTTGGCAAGTGCCAAAAACGCAGCCGTAAAATTACAAATTAGGGCCTACGAAAAAAAATTAAAAAAATAAATCTCTTATGTTGGATAAGAGTATTTTGGTCATTTTAATTTGATTTGACACCATAAATAAATATTAAACTAAAAAGCAAAAAGCCAACTTTTTACCAACTTCCCAAATAACTTCCAAAAAAGCCAAAAAACTTGGTAAAAAGCCAAAAGCCAGCTTTTTACCAACTTCCCAAAACAACCCTGAGTAATAACAGCTGAATAAAATAGCATAGGTCTTATAGTTTTAACAAATCAATAACATATTCTTCATCTTCCCTCTTCTCTCTCTATCTTTCCCCATTTTCAGCCTTCCTTTTTTTTTTCGAAAGAAGTTCAGAACCGTTACGTACTTACGTAACAGACCATTACGGCACCGTTACGACCGCTACAACCAACATACCTTTGAATCTCAATCACACCGCAAAAGCGACTATAACAGATGGCAATAACTACCGCAACCGTTACGTAACGGCATTACGTAACGGTTAGCTTATTTTAATATGAGAATTTGTGTCAAATTAATGCAACTTCTGCTTATAACTTATTAGGCAGAAATAATTTAAATAAATTAAAAAAAAAAAAAAGTTTTCAAAAGGTGGGTAAGAGATACTTTTCACTTCTACTTTTTGACCATCAACTTTTAACTTAAAACAATCTCCACCAAACACCCCTATTAGTCAATAACCGAGCACCACTAATAGCACAAGGCACGTTCAAAATGCCACAGTAACAAACATAGGAAAAGGTGAACCTGAATTCTATCTTCTAATGCCATGAAATTTAAAGTAACATATAAGCTTACCACTAGTACATGTTTGCCTCACGATTATTGATTCAAAATAAAAGAGAAAACTAATCTCTCTCCATCCAGTATTCCCTCCCCACAGGCCCGCCCAACTGCATCAGAAGAACACCATAAAAAGGATAAATTAATAACCAGTTAACAATGAAAAAACGAAAGAAAAGAGAGAAAAATAAAGGTTCCATGAATCATCTGATCTTGGGGGAACTTTCTAGTGGCTCGTGATGATATCACGCTGACTATGAAACACAAATGAAACTACAACGAATTATAATCTAAACATCCGTATTCCTAATAACTGAGACCATACTGACCAATGAATTTTGTATGGAGCAAGAGAAAAGGGCACAAGAACTTGAATTAGAGAATGAATTTCACAAAAGCTGAAATAACTGAAGTCATCTTGAAGAATGGGTTGTTTTGGAGCTAGAGAAAAAAAGCAATAACGACATGAATCAGAAAAGTAAACTTCACAAAAGCATAAATAACTGAGGCCATCTTTAAGAAAGGATTTTGTTCGGGGCAAGAGAAAAAGGACACAAGGACATGAATCAAAGAATGAACTTGACAAAGTATGTACGTGAAAGCCATTGGAAGAACCACGAGTCTTTCAAAGGAAAAAGAATTATTTGATTGGAATTCGAGAACAGGAAAGGTGCCACCCAAAACATGAAGGAACCTCGAATCACTCCACTTTTATCATTAAATACAAAATCAATTATATTTCTTGAACTTCATACAGAGATCTACCTCAAGAAAGAAACCCAACTTCATGTAATTTTGTACACAATGATATAGTGTCACACATCAACGAAAGGAGTAATAATATAATGGAACCTCAAGAGTAACCAAACCTGGAACATTACACAGATGAACATAAAGACGATTTACAATAAAATATCAGACCCAGTGTGCATGCCCATCCAACCAGGGTTGGCATGCTCCAATTAGCTACCATCTCACCACAACATAGGATTTGCCTACATGTCTCATGCCAGCAATCACAAGGCATCTATCTAATCAAACAATCATGAGGCATCTATCTCGTTTTCCCATTGTTTCAAGTAGATCAATCTTTGTTATGAGTGTCTTAGAGCAACTCCAGCCCTAGTCATCTTTTGTCAGCTACCATAAATATTTTAGCCAAGCACTTTGCCTAGTAAGTACTCCAACACTACCCTATCTAGCTCTCTATCCAAACTAATTTATGATTGTTACAGCACACCACGTCAACGTTAGAAAAGAGGGAGTGTTCTTTGGAGTTTGAAGAGCTTTCAATGGCTCTCTAAAGGTAGAGAGCAAAAAAGAAAGGAGGTAAATTAACTTACAGCATTCAGAGAGCCTATTGGAGTTAGGAGTTGTGAAAAATGAAAATGGCTAACTATTTTACCTAACAAACCTTATTTAAAGAGCCATTTAAATAAGGAGCCATTTGGCGTTTCTCTCTATGTTTGATTGGGAGATTTGAAAAGAGAATAAGAAAAGGTAGGTAAAATATGAATAAAACATATCTACATCTCATCTAATTTCACACACATTTTCCATTTCTATTTCAAAATTCCTCCCCAAATCTCCCAGCCAAATACCGGGTTAGATTAAGAAATTTGCACCTATGCAAAGGTAGACACAAAAAAGAAACTTTTCAAGATTAGCTAACGAACAAATATGAAGTTTGAAACAAGAGGACAAGTTTTTAAAATCCCATCTGCATCTATCCAAATAACATTACTCAAAGAGAACCCTTAAACCACTGCGACAAAAGCATCCTCCTCAAAGAAGGGGGAAAAGGAAAAGGTAAAGCCATAGGTAAAAGTAATGAATCCTCAAACCAACCATCAAGCTCCAATTGCACATTACCATCTATCTACGAAACATGGACATTGATTCGGGACACACATATAATATGATACAAATATGTCTGTAAAATTTTAAAAACATATAGTATACAGATACATCAAGGACATGTTTATATAATGTATGAGCTAAAAAATTTAATTTAAAACATGGTTTTGTCAGGTAGGGACATGGAATGTGTGCTTTTTTAGGGCTTACTCGAAAAGAGTGAGATGTGAAGAAGGAGGAGGAGGATTAGAAGTCGAGGTTGAGTTGTTCATTGCGATCAGAGAAGTAGTGGAGAACGTAAGGGGTGATCCGAACCACGGTGACCCAAACACCGAACATGGCTACGTGGCTGCGAAGCTGCTTCAGAGCCACTTCTTTGTCCGGTTTCCGAGCGAACATTCCCGGAAACATCCTTGCCTCGTCTTTCTTTCTGTTATTTTTTCTTTGCAGAGAAGAGAAGAGAAGAGAAGAGAGTCGTTCTGAGTTATACTACTGAAACTAAAACCCTAGCTCTTCTCTCCAGTCCACTTATCATATGTATATATCGGTGCGACTGTGTTGGGTCAGAGTTCGGAAGACTTGGGCCCGATGTTGGTTTGGACTAAGCTAATGTTGGGTTTAGGTTAAAAGCTCACACTCTAGTTGAACTCGGGCTGATTTTATTGACCACTGCTTCTTTCTTTTTTTGGGATAAATTACCAATAGATTCTAATAGTTGAACTTAATTCCCATTAAATCCTATTGAAAATAAGTTTTAGTAAAATTGTCATTAAAATAATTTTTTTTGTGACAATTTTTTATATATGTCTCTAAAAATTGACAATTAGTGACTTTTTTTTTTGTCATGATTTTTATAAATTATCGCTAAAACTTACAATTAGTGACCTTTTTTATGAAATTTTTTTTCCATAAGACCTATTAGACAATAAGTTCACTTATTAGGATCTACACGTAAGTACCCCTTTTTTTTGTCTACATTTTTTAATTTTTTATGAAAAAATATGAAATGTGAGTTGAGATTAAAATGATGTATTAGAGAGGTAACGTGATTTAAATAAGAGGCGATATAACTCAAATAAAATAATTGCAACTCAAAAACCATATTGTATAGTATCATGTTCTCAAATAAGATAATGTGCTACATAGTTGTTTAGCACATGCCAAACAACTATTTAGTCTTAAAAAAGTACTTCGTATAGTATTCTATGCAAATTCAAATTTAATCCAGTTTAGATCACACTTCGAATAAATTTGATTTACATTACATTTCATTTTCAAATTAAATTTTCAACCATGCTACATCCCATCAATATAGCACCCTTACTTTATCCCTAATGACATGGAAGAGAGAGATAGAGAGAATAGTGTGGGCCCATCCTTTCACATGATCTATGCCATGTCATTAGAGGTGAATTGACAGTGCCAAATTAGTACTCCCAAGCATTTTTTATAAATTTTTGTATGTGTATTATAATTTTCAAAAATTCTATTTACACGCCATCAACACTCTCAATGCATACCATCTTCTATGTTCACACCCTATCAAATTTCAAATTTTTTCATTTTTCTCAAAGCACACCATGTATTTTCAAATAAATCGAAAATATCTTCTTCTTCTCAAAATGTCTAACCCTAACCCAAACCCTAATATAGTCGCTGCCGCCGCCACCGCCACCGCCTACAACCTATTCGACCATAACCCAACCTCATTAGCCTCCATAGGCCCGTCATCATCAGCTTTTTCCACCTTCTAAAACCACTATCGTCTCTTCCCTAACCCACCTTGTCGCTACTAACGCCAATGCCATCATCTCCGTCCTAAACAACTCCAACTACGATGACAGATAGTTGATAAAAATCACAATCACGATAGAGAGACTAAAAGATATTAGAGATCGAGAGCGAGAGAGAGAGAAATGGGGGAATGAGGGAGACTATGGAGGTGGCGGGGAGGAATGGTGAGAATGGGTTGGGTATGAGCTGAAAAAGTTACCGGAGATTATGGTAGTAACGATGACCATAGTAGCAGCGATAACAGTAATGGTAGAACAAGGAAAGAAAAAAGAACAAACATGGCGACAACCGGGCTAGGCAAGATGCCGGCAGTGGCAAGTTGCTGGTGGTGGGCGAAGGAGTGTGATGGTAGATTTGATTTTAGGATTTTTGTCCAAAATGGTAATTTCATTCAAGGATACAATGGTAATTTAAAAAAATAGCCAATGGTTTGTACTGAGAATAATGATGGTGTGTAAATAGAATTTTCCTATAATTTTTTCTTTCTTTCTTCTAAATGACACATATCTACGTTTACCATGCGTTTAAGCTATGTTTGGTTGGAGAATTTGACGAAAGATATGGAAAAAGAAATGGAAATAGAAAGAAAAGAAAAAAAAATTAATATGATTTGAATTTCAAGCTATGTTTGGTTGAGTTAGGAAATGAAGAAAGAAAAGAGTTTAAAGTGAACTCAAAAGACAAAATGTGGAATTACATTTCCCTCGTACTTTCTTTTCTTATGTGTTCCTCATTATAACCAAACAAAAAATGAGATTGCATTTGTTTTTTCCTTTTTATTTCTCTCACCAAACTCCAGCCAAACACAGCCTTATTATCTTATGTGTTAGGACTACATTGAAGATCTATCTATACTAACAATATATAAAGTCAATGCTCGAGTTGATGTTGATTGTCACAATTTTTTTATTTCTCAAAATACCCCTAACCATGGTAATTGCCCTAAGCTTATTCTCATAGATCCAACTACCTCATAGATCTAACTATTTACACACGCATGATGTGTGCCCATCTCTAGTAGATATAAGTGTTAGAACCCATTATACTAATGTTGTGTTAACAAATGTTATCCCGGTAATGGCAACCCAAGATAGGGGTGAATTGGGTTTTAATGAAATCTAATGCAGTTTTGACTTAACTGAGAAGAGATATAGAACTTAAGCAATCAAACTATAACTAATGAATAAGTAATGCAAATAATCATAGAAAATATAAGCAGTGATAAGAAAAATCACAAAATATATCAACACCACAATTTATAGTGGTTCAGCTTAACCTAAGCCTACGTCCACTCCCCAAGTATCCTCATTGGGAATTTTTTCACTATCTTCAAATAGCATTACAACCCCTAGCTTTATAAGTTCTAGTGAACCTTTACAACAAGTGATCAACTCTCGATCACTCAAGCCAACTAGTTTTTAAATCCAGTGCCTAGCCACACCTAACCCAAGTGATTTTATCCCAAAACCATTCATAAAAAGATCACGACTAGTTTTGAATCTGGTGCCTAATCAGACCTAACCTAAGTGATTTTATCCCAAAAACTACTCACACAAAAATCGTTCTCACAATAGTATGAAGAAGGGAATGCAAACCCTTTTACAATAAAAGTTTAACTCCTAACAAAATTCTCACTCAAAAGTGTATCCCAATAAAGAACAGTAGAGAGCTTTCTCAGTATAACAAATAGTTTTCCTTGAAAAATATGACAGTTAGAGTTTCAAAAATATAGCTATTAGGATCGGTTTCCTTTTTCAAATCAATTTCTCTTATATATTGAACATTTCCCAAATCAAAACTATAGTTGGAATTTCTCTTATATAGCTATTAGCAAACCAAAGGAGTCTTCAAATTCAAATTCTGACTCTAAGCTTCCTTTCTTGAATAATAGCACATTGCAATATGTCTTGAAAAAATTCTGAACAAATCCCTTTGATTCTTCAATCTTTCCTTGTAGAGAAAATCTTCCTTGTGTGTGAAATCCAAGTATAATCTTCATTTCAAATCTTTCAGTGTATTTTGAATTCAAACTCTTTATGGGGATATATTTTCTAAGTACCAACACGTGGCCAAGGTGACACCGACGTGTCAGCCGGGGTGCCACGTGTCCTGGTCGTGGCGCCGAGGTTATCTCCAAAAATATTGGAGTCCAAGATAAGCGGATAAGGGACAAAAGTCCTAGAATGAGGAAGGACTTCAGCCTGGATAAGGATAAAGCTCTTAGGGAGTTTATCTTTATCTATTAGAGAGTCCAAGATAAGTACTGAGCTAAAGTCCATTGAAGCTAGGCTTCTATTGGGACTAAGATTGGGCTAACTATAAAAGAGAGGCACCCCATGGGTCTAAGGTATGCAATTCATACTCTAAATAATGAGTTTAACATTTTTGATATCTTTGAGAGATAACTGACTTGATCGTCGGAGTGCCCCCGAGTGGACGAACCACCGTCGGAATTTCTTCTTTCTGTTGCAGGTCATTCAGGCGCCATCTATTCTGCCAGTGCTCTCCAGCTGAATACTGAGTTGGCAGTGTGGTCAGAAATTCACAGACACAATTTGGTGCTGTCTGTGGGAAAGAAAGGAGGATAGATGGCCAACGACGGACAGAAGGATAAGGTTGGGGGCGAAATCCCTGCTGGGAATGGTAAACACGTTGACCTTAACATGGAGGAAGATGGTTGCAACGAGGAGACTCAGGACCAGAATCACGGTAAAAAAGACATCGGCCAGAAGGGTGACGTACCAAAAAGTCAGATCGAAGCGAGTATTACAATGAGGACAACCTCCAGGTATGGAAAGATAGATGCCTGCGAAGGGACGAAGAGGTGAAAGAGATGGCGAACAAATTGGCAGACCTGCAATCGGTCGTCAATTTCATGATGCAAAACAACGTAATGCAGCCATCGTTCCCGCTGTAGGACACGCCGATTCCAGCGGCTAATGCCCGGAAGGGAGGGCAGAAAACAATCCCTGTAGCCCCCCAGCACACCAGGAGTGAAAAACACGCTCACCGGCCTTCAAGGGAGGTCAGGCGAAGAGAGTCGAGGAGGGAAGAATCTCGAAGGACACATCGCACCAGGGAGGCAGACCCCAAAGAACATCGGCATGTTCAAAGGCAGGAGCTGTGCTTCGACACAAGTAATGGAGAAAGGTCGAAAAGGTCTCACAACGAAGCTGAGAGTAATGCACCAAAAAGATTGAAATCTGGAGATAGCTGAGCTCCCAGGCGGACCAAAGAGGACTTAAGAGATTACCTCAAGACGAAGCAACAAAATGCCGAGGTAACTTCCCGTGTTAAGTCGAGAACACCATTCTCGGTGATGTTGGACAAATTTGAGGCCCCGAAAAGATTCAGTATGCCGAGATTCCAGATATACGATGATAAGTCGGACCCCAACTTTCATGTCGGATTATACCTGAACTCGATGGCATTATACACTGGGAACGAGCCGTTGCTCTGTAAAGTGTTTTCCTCATCCTTCGGGAAAATTACATCGGATTGGTTTCACAAATTGCCGGAATGAAGTGTGAAGACCTGGGAAGGCCTGACCAAGATGTTCGTGGCCAGGTTCGTGACAAACAAACTACAGCCATTAAGGGTAGACACCTTGATGGCTTTGAGAATCAGTAAGGATGAAGGCCTTAGGGCCTACGCTAAAAGGTACTATAAAGTGTTCAACCGAATACCCGAGTGCAACCAAGAGGTAGCGATCATATCTTTCAAGAA